GGAGGAGGAGGAGGAGGAGGAAGAGGAGGAGGAGGAGGGGGAGGGGTGTGTGAGTGAGTCCATCACTAAGTGATAAGTCTAAACTGATGACAAAGCGGTGGCGGCGGCGGCGGCGGCGGCGGGGGGCCTGGCCTTGTGGAAGTCGCGGCAGGCGTCCGCGCTCACGCGCTCGACGCTCCACCTCCTCCTCACGGCCTCCCCGCACGCGGCACACCACCTCACACCAGGCCTCGTTGGGCCTTTTCCCGCTTGGACAACACCTTGGGCCACTTGTTGAGCCCGATGTTTCTTAAATATTCTTTACGGTTGGCAGTAATCTTATCAGGCTGGCACGGCTTCCCTAAATTGGCTCGGCGTTTCGATACGTAGAACCCGCAGCATATACAAAACCAAACTCCTAATGTAGTATGGTACCGCATCTGGTGCGAGGAATCTACCCACCCCCCAGCCATATGAAGACGAGCCCCCTTTGTGAGAGATTTATACACGCCCCCTAAAGACTTTAATTCACAGCACTCGCTCTGGCGCCAGGTCAGGATCTCACTGTCGGCTGCCGTGCTATGGCAGCGCAAGCATTTTTCCCCGCAATCTGACAGCTGGTGCTGAGCGCTGAAAAAGGACAGCTGCTTTGCACTCGGGGGAGGCAGGTGTCTTGGCTCACCATCTTTTTTCTTCCTCGGACGCTCAGGGCATATCTCTTTTTCCTTGGCCAGTGCATCAAGGGTGGCCCGCAACATACGATGTCGAATGAAAAAGGCCTTTTTTCCACCACAGCAATCTTGGCACGGACCTCCGCGGGCACACGCACTGCTTCCGCTGCTATCTCGGCTACCTTATCTGCTGCTGCGTTGCCAACGATCAGCCATTCTGGGAACTTTTTTTCATACACTGCAGTGCCGTCCAAGTGTGAATTCACAAACAATACAGAAATCTGGGACTCGCAGCGGCTTGTTAACTCGATATGCTCATTGATCTTACTCCAAAGGTCAGCATCTGGCCCGTCTGGGCTCCTCCACTTTCTGTCGTACCAGCCTGTGACAACCGAAAAATTGTCTGCTATGTACAGCAACTCTCCTGATGTGACCTCGAGCGCCTTCAGGAAAGCTCTCAACTCGCCACGGGCAACAGTTTGTCTTGGCCCAACTAGGCCTCCGTGGATGGTTCCAAGAAGCTGCAGCTCGGGTTCATTACGATTGGGGTATCGGGCAACTGCAAGACCTACTCCAACTCGGCGGAGCTTGGTGCTTTTGCTGTCTTCTCCTCCGCTCGCGTCACCGAACACGACTGCTGGCACCTGGCGATTTCCTACTGCAACGACTCCAGTCAGATCAGCCTCCAGATCACCTCCTACACTCCACTCCTCAACTTGTGCTGGTGGGGGGGGCAGAGGTCCAAGGGGCGGGTATGATTCCTCGCAACCAGAAGCACTCCGCTGACTCCCACTGGGAGTACGCTTCACTTACATATTCATCCGATAAGGCATATACTTTGTTTTCTTTGTTTTGTTCGCATCCCCATATTCTATGAAACGGTGTTTCCACAGCTTGACCACAGCGAGGGCATTTATTACATATTTGAACATTCTTGGCCCACTGGGCC